TTCTACAATAGGTGGATATATTTTTTCTTGCACCAATCTTGAGATTATTGATGCAATGCAATGAGAGTTTTTTGGGAGGTGGTATTGGATCTAATAATGTGGAATTTTTTCTTTTTTGTGATCTTTGGATTTTGATGTTGTAAAAAAAGTAGGATATTTTTTGGCCTTAGAATTTGGTTATGAGATTATAATGGCTAGAAGTAGGGGATATAAGTGCTTTTGTAGTAGATTAAAAGTTGTGTTGCTGGTTCAATTCTTATAATTCTTGTGGTTTTGTAGAATAGTGTTGTGAGGTAGCAATGCAAGGATTATTTTTTTTTTTTTTTTCTCTTATTCTCTCTTATCTATGAATTTTGGGTGGCTAGACAGGTATTTGGAAATAGAGACGATACATTCAGGAGGTAATTGATTGTGTGACCCTAACGTGAACGCTTAAGCAACTAGTCATTTCCCGTGTTCAAATCCCCCTATACGGGTTTATTCTGGGAAGTTTCTTCCACAATAAGTAAAACGAGCAATCACAGCAATTTATTTGATGTTGATAGTATAGAGTTTGTGCCATTGCTGAGTTTAATATTGTAATAGTTTTTTGATAGTGTCATAATACAAATGCTTATAGTATATAAAAATTAATTAAAACATATAATATATTTATAAGTCTTCATGTATATTAGAATATTTAGTAGGATAACTTAAAAAGAGATGATGTAAGAAAATTTATTTTAAATTTTATCTATATTAATCATCGTGTTTAAATTATATAAGATTTAGATATTTAATATAAAATTTTAGAAAAGATAGAAGCTCAAAGATGAAGATCCAAACTACTAGGAAGCTTATTTAGAGGAATAAAAGCAAGGTATGATGAAGACAAGGAGTGAAGGTCGTCATCTCTATTGATCAAAGGCTATGTCCAATAGGCTTTCAACAAGTTAATTGTGACCATAATAAGAATTTTAGAAACTTCAAAAGGAGCATTTAAGAATCACAAGTAAGGATTATAAGGTTCAGGATTTGGACTACAATTTGTGTAAATAATTTAGAAGGTTTGAAGTTTAAATTAAGATGTTATAGCCATTTGAAGTTAAGGTGTCTTTTAAGACATATTATTATTTTTTTTGAAGATATGAAAAGTTATATAGTAACTTTTGGAAATCAAAAGATGTAGCTACAAGGATGATTTTAAGACCTACATATTTTGTAAATAAATTATTATATTTGAAGTTTGTATAAAGAAGTTATAAAGCATTGAAGATAGTATATATAATTTAAAGGCAATAAGTGAGTTGTTTTATTGATAGTAATGATTGAAGTCATATTTTAATTTTTCAAACGAATTTTTGGCTCAAAATTTCTAAAAATGTAAATTATTAGGTTAAAAAGCTATACATCAAAATTTTATGGTATTTGAATACTTAATTTATGAGATGTAATAAAAATGGCATGTAAAGGTATGTAAGCAAGGATTTGAAGCTATTGTTAGGATTTTGGCAATATTTCAAGATTCATAAAAAAATTTATAATTAAAATTTATTTTAATAGTTTTTTAAAAAATATTAGTATTTTATATAAATGTTTAGTTTGTTTGGATGGTCCAATAATAAAATATGAGTTGTTGAAGTTTAGGAAAAATTCACCTTAAGGATATATAAAGATTTAGAATATTTTTATAACACTTTGGATGTTATTTGGTATTTAATGCTTATATATTGATGTAATGACTCCTATAATGAAAATTTTATATATAAACTTGGTACTTTTTTATCTTGAAACTTGATTAAGTAATTAGTGAGATCCAAAAGCCTAATCTTTTCTTGAGGCAATTCTTTCTATTCCAACATATTGGTGCTTCTATTGAGAGTACTTTAAGGTACTAAATTTTTTAATAAGTGAGGATGGAGGATCAAATCTTAAGGTTTGTATTACTATATAGAATCGATGCCTATGAATTATTTAGGATATTTTTTTAATTTATAGAAGAGAAGCAACAAGTACATAGAGATGATAGAAACATTGCCAATGCTTTATAAGTAGTGGTGGATAAGATTAAAAGGTTTGGTGGAAGGAACATCACTAAGTTTTTAATACTTTATATATATAAAATAGAAGTGCATCAAGTTTGAAAAATGAAGATAAATATGTTAAGTCTATAGAAGATCATCAAATAGAATGTACATCTTTAGAATTTACAAAGGTAAAAAGTATATATAAGAAGTATATATAAATACTTATTCTAAATGTGATAATGATAGAACAAGAAGTAGTAGTTGTTGAATTTTTTATTAGATTAGAGCTATTATAGAGACATATGTAAGATTAGAGGACTTTAAAGATCAAATTTTGGACTTAATTAATTATAGATTTAAAATAAACATCATGTTAAGGTGGATGTAGAAGAAAAATAAGTTGCCAATTGATATCAATCATGGTTGGATAATTAGAGCTACAAACAGCCAACAAAGTGATTTATATGGAGCTTACCAATTGTAAAGACAAGATTTGAGTTATAGAAGTGGAGCAAAATTTCTTCATGCAAAATTTTGCTATATATCCAATAATACTTAATCAATTCTATATTATAGTTTTTAGAATAGAAACTAGAGTCTTAAATGATGATTCACATTATGCAAAGTTTTATAGATGGGATAAAACAAAAGCTATGTAATTTATTATTATCTGTAAGAGGCACAATGAACAATTAAGAGGGATATTTTTAGAGCTTCTAAATAACTTTGTGGATTTTTAGAGAGGACCCTTATAATATAGGAATATATGGATATAAATAAATCATTTGTAAATTTCAATGTAGATAATATGAGTTTTAGATATTTAGACTTTATTAATAATAGATTTGTGAATATTCAAAGGATTAAAGATTTAGGTTTCATAAATGAAAGAAGAGTAAAGATTTTTTTTTTTTAAAAAGAGTAGATTTAGTTTTAGATGATTAAGCCATAGTTAGAGTAATAGAAGAAGTAAATTCAAAGGATGTTCTAATTAAAATTCTAAAGAATTTAGCTATGAATATGGATATAGATGCTATAGTAGAAATATACTCAAAAAGAACTTATGAAAAATTAGAAAAGATAGTAGCAAATGGTGGGCTTGCTATAAGCTATGGATTGAAACATGAGATGAGAATAAAAACTAAATATAAAACTATGGCAAAAAAGGTAAAACTTATAGCTATTTAGTTACCAATTGATACTATAGAATATATTAAGGAAGCAATTAAAAAGCCAAGTTTAAGAGAGAGGTACAAAATCAAATATCAATTTACTCAAGCATCATTAATTAAGATGAAAATTGGAAGAAGTGATTTCTTGATATTAATGAAAAAAATATGTTTTGAAAAATGTTTATTAGACATGATAAGGCATTTTTCTTAATTCCTAATGAGATTGAATGTGTATATCTTAATATTATAGTATCTATGATAATCTTTACAATGCCAGACATTCCATGGAATTTAATGCCTATACTTGAGCTTAGAACTTTATTTCAAAAATTGATAGAATTATTAAACGAGAAGATAAAGAAGGGTATTTTAGAATCTTTAATTTCTCTCTATTCTAATAGATGGTTCACAATATCTAAGAAATCAGAGATATTAAGGTTTATTCAGGATATGCAACTTGAAAAAAAAGTGATTATTCAAAATATCAGATCAAGTCTTATAGTAGATGAAGTAGCTAAGTAATATGCAAGTCATGCCATCTATTCTAATAGAGACTTGTATTCTGGATATGACCAATTTTAATTGGCTAAAGAGAATAGAAATTTAACTACCATGAAGATTCTTTTGGATTTAATAATGATGTGTACCTTTCTTTAAAGTGCAACCAATTCAATAGCTTATATGCAAAATTCTATGAAGCAAATATTGAAAGAATTTGTATTTAAAAAACTATTCTATTTTTTGATGATATATCTATAAAACAAAATAGGCAAAAAATCAAGCATGAGAATATAAAAAAAATATTTGTCTGGATCATATTCAAAGTATATTATGATATTCTATTAAATCACAGTGAAGGTAATAAAAGAGTATTAATAGAATATCATAATATACTTTGAATATGATGTAGAAGAATTTGGGCCATATATACTAAGTTCAAAGAAAGATATTGGTGGAAGAACTTATGCAACGATGTAGAATATTTTATGAGCTCATGCATAGAGTATCAACTACAATCTAAGATTAGATATAAAAATAGATTATATCCTATTTATCTACAAAAATGATATAAATGAATAAGTGATTTAGCTAACAGGGATGCTTATAAATGAATTATAATTTATAAATGAATTAGCTAACAGGGATGCTTGTCGGAACGTTCAATTGTACTCTGCAAGGACATACATCATGGATTTCTTACTAGAGTTTATAAAGTTGAAGAAAGACTTGATTGCTAAGTTTCTTGAAGGGTACGAATATGAAATCGAGATCAGACTGAAAGATGTAATAGAGAAGGAATTTATAGGACTTCCAAAAGTCAATAACATTATCACCACAGAAGAGACACTATATTCAGTAAAAGGTAGCAGTACTGTTACAGTCAGAGAAATAAACTCTGAATTCTTTATCAAAGAAAAAGTATCATCAAGGATAATTCCTAGGTTCAATGCAGAGGCTGTGCTATCTCTTGAGCGAAGGCATCACAAGGAAGAAGGGATGATACTAAGGATTAAGAGGAATAAAGAAAGTACAGAATCAATACAAAGTATATCCAATAATATAATAATAGATAGCAGATCAAAAGTAAGAACAAGTATTATTGATATACTTCATCACACTTAATAATATCATAAAAAAATAAAATTATTATAAGATATGAATGTTAAGTGTACTTTAGACCTACTTTAATATTAGCTATGGATAGCTCTTGAGTTTGTAATTTAAAGCTATAAGGTAAACGATATTCCTTTGTGTTCCTTCTGTTACAATTAATACATGGATTACCAGAGTATATCGTACTACAATCATGACATATCCATACCTCACACAAATCAGAGGTGTTCTTTAACTTCTCAAGAAGCATCGATGCTGCTCCATGTGCTATAAGACAATCCTTCTCCATTTTTCCAAATCGCAGTCCTCCTTTTCTTGATTGTCCTTCAACTGGTTGCTTTGTAAGACTTTGTATGACACCTTTGGATATCGAATGGGCCTTGTCTCTAGCTTGATGTCTAAGAACATCATAGTAACATATACCAATTGCAACTCTCGCTTCTATAGGTAATCCTGTAGTACCACAATACATCTTCTGTTTAGAGAATTTAGCTGTATCACCTTCAAAGCTTCCATAAGCTTTATTGAATGTTGTTGCATCTATACAGCTGCTCTCTCTAGACTTCGGCTTTGAAGGAAGTATTGGATCTCTAGCATTGTTTGAGTCTAGTACATAGATCTTACACATTACCATCTCTAGTAGATGATCCATGGTCATCCTACTAGGTATTGCATGAGGGTTGATTATAAGATCAGGTGCTATCCCATCTTTAGTAAATAGTAAATCTTCTTGTGACATGATAGCTCCAATCACACCCTTTTGTGAATGCCGTGATGTGAACTTATCTCCTACAATAGGAAATTTGTATAGCAATATTCTTACTCTAACTATCTTGTTCCCTTCTACGCTTGTATGTTTAGTTACCTTATCAACCCGTCCTGATACAAAGCTCTTCAGTACTATCTTCTCTATGCTTTGTTTCTTTTCTGTTATTATAAATTTAGCGGCAATGGTATCACCATCTTTTACTTGTTGATCAATTAACACAATGCCATCGTTGTCACGTAAGATATCTCCATCTAGAATATATACAAGAGTCTCATTCATAAACTTGTTCTCTATGATCTCAACAACTTCGTATTTAATACTTGAGGATAGTCCTCTGTCTATTGATGACTTGTTAAACAACAAAGAGTCCTCTTGATTATATTCAGAGTATGACAATATAACAATTACAATGTTTACTCCATTGTATTCCTTTATTGTGTTTGATATAGTTGTTGTACATATAGGCTTTTGAGCGTATGTTAATATCTTTGAGTCTAATACCATGCTTGTCATTATATGGAGAGTAAGAGGTATTGCTTGCTTGCTCATAGCTGATTGGAATACTATTCTTGATGATTGGTTGAAATTAGCATAGGGAGTCATAGATGCAGATAGTCCAAACATGAACAATGGATGTATCTCAATATGTGTATGTTGTTTGCAGATGCTATCATACGTTGTAGCAATGAAGCATTGCATATGCTCTGTTGCATCTATCATCTCTAACGTGCCAGCTTTGTGCATATCATCAACTGTGGTGTTGCTACAGACTGATGCACTTCCATTAGTACATATCAACAGAGATCTATTGTATCTACCTCTAATTGTCTGAATGTGTATTCTTTTATCTGATGAGTAGTATATGGATACGAATATGAATGCTTCTCCCTTTTTCTTGTATGCCTTTATGCTTCTAAATACGTTATCCTTCGATGTCCTTGCAACAAACAATCCATTGATAAACAAAGCATCGTTCCCTCGAGGCAATACACCAAGATGGTTTAAGACATCATCTGGATCAACATAAGGTGTTATTGTACATGTTGATGATAAGTACTTAACAACACCTACATCAGGACCCTTTGGTGTTTCACAAGGACATATATATCTAAGCTGAGTTGGATGTATTTGCCTCATTATAGCACTTGCTCTTTCTTCGGAGCTAATCTCAACTCTCCTAACTTGAGACAATGAATTAATTGTTGACTTTGATGATAACACTTGAGATATAATTCTTTTATTATCACCTTGAGTATAGCCTTCTCATATGCTTGTCTTAAAGTTGCTTTGGATATCCTTTGATATTCGATTTAGTGCGCTTACTATCACTACTTTCTGCTTACTATTGCTTCTTATCTTTTGCTGATTCAGCTTGTTAATCCTCTTCTCTATGCACCTCCGTACAATGTCCGCTGGTGTATGCACACATTTAAAGCTCAAGCAGTCCCTATCATCTTCTTGTCTGAGTGTCACGGACACAAAATACAGACTTGAAATCTAACAAGAAGTTCAAGAAGAAGTGGCAGAACTAGATTAAACAGATGAGTACAAGAACAACACCAGAAAGGTGAGCTAGAACTCCAAGAGATGTGTTGTCGAGACTGAAGAACCCTTCAGCCTCGACTCCTATATATACTACTGAATAGGAAGCTTCTCGAGCTACTTCCGCTAACTAGGACGCTTCTCCAACAACTTCTACTAATTAGGAAACTTCTCGAGCAACTTCCTAGAATCTATCAGAATATTCTAGAACCTTCTAAGAATATTCTAGAACCTTCTAAGTGAATCTTTAGGGAATATTCTAAGAATCTTCTAGAACCTTCTAAAGGAATCTTTAGAGAATCTTTAGAGAATATTCTAGAAGAATATTCGAAGAATCTTCTAATGTATGTCCATGACATCACCTCCTCTTCTAACTTTGAGGTCTCCGAGAAGCAATGTTGTTATCAGTCAATACCAACGCAAGAAAATGAAAATCTGTCGCATCACATCCGCTATGAATTCCAATTGTTGTTCGCGAGGCAAATGATTCATCGGTCTTTGGAGCCAACGGTAGTGACCAACACCTTCAACCTCTGATCAAGCGTGGACTTCTGTGTCTTCATTGTGAAACTGTCCTCCAAACACACCTTCTGGCAGACCGTCGTAGGCAGGCTCGACCTCAAATATAATTACTAGCGATCTGTTGCTCGGTATCCTCCGACGTCGTCGTGGTGCAGGCGGTTCTTCATCTCGCGGTTGTCTTCGTGAGCTAGTCGCTTGAGATGACATAACAAGTGTAGTATCTTGACTATCCATGTCCAAAGGTTAAAATGATGAGAGCAAACTATAGTTGCTAACAAAGTTCTACACTATCGAACTATGGATTTTGGAGGTGCCCTCCCCCCTTTTTATGCTACTTGATGAGCAAGCTTCATCAAGAAGCTATCGTTGAATCGGCTTAGGTTTATGAGGATATCGTTGATGAAATTCTTGTACCTTTTTTGGTACATTGGCAAGATTTTCGACACGCTCCCACGTTCGTTCATTGATGTCGTATCCACTCCAATGCACTAAATACTCCAATTTTCTCCTATTACGCCGTGAATCTAGTACCTTTTCCACCTCGTATTCCTCATGGTTTTCAATTTCGATACTTGGTGGCGGACTTTGTACTCTTTGGGGAAAAGCTGACTCTCGATAAGGTTCCAACAAAGACACATGAAAGATTGGATGTACCTTCATAGTAGCTGGTAACTCCAGACGATATGCCACCGGATTGATCTGCTTCCCGATAAAAAATGGCCCTAATCTCCGATAGTCCAATTTGTCACATGGCCACTTGGTCTCGATATTCCGTCGAAGAAGCCATACTTTACTTCCAACTTTAAAAGTAGGCGCCTCATTTCGATATTTATCTGCAGATGCCTTGTAACTCTCTTGGGCAGATTGCAATTGAAGCTTCAACGTTGCTTGAAGCTCCGATAGTTGCTTCACAAATCCTTCAGCTGCTGGGTTGTTATTTGCTGAAGAACTCAATAAATCGAGCTTGGGGTGGTATCCGTAGTTGGAGAAGAATGGTGTTTGTTGAGTTGACGCATGAAGAGTGTTGTTGTATGCGAACTCAGCAAGCGGTAGATATGCAGTCCAATCATCTTGTTGATAGTTGATGCTGCATCGTAAATATTGCTCCAAAACTTGATTCACCCGCTCCGTTTGACCGTCAGTTTGAGGATGAAAAGCCGAAGAGAGCTTAATATCCACCTTCAATATCTCAAAGAGGGACCTCCAAAACTTGGATACAAACTGAGTACCTCGATCCAACACGATATCATCTGGTAGGCCATGATAACGATATATGTTATCAAGAAAGAGTCTTGCGGTGTCTTCACTTGACGATGTTTTCTTGCAAGGCACGAAATGCGCCATCTTTGTAGATCGATCCACCACAACAAAGATGCTGTCAAATGAATTCGATGGCGGTAGGTCCGTAATGAAGTCCATAGAAACTGAAGACCATGGTCGGTGCGGAATAGGCAATGGCTGGAGAAGTCCATACGGACGATGTCGAGGGATCTTGGATCTTGAACAAACATCACAAGAAAGAAAAAATTCCTTCACATCCTTCCACATTTGGGGCCACCAAAAATCTCGTGAAATGAGCTCCAAAGTCTTATTGAATCCAAAATGTCCCGCAGCTGGAAAGTCGTGGCGAGATTGAAGTACTCGGAGTCGAGTTGGTCCTTTCGGGATATACAACCGCTCCTCAAAATACAGAAGATCTCCCTCCACCTTAAACTTGTCATTATCGACACGTTGTTTGATGTCAAGAGCTATAGAATCCTCAATGGTCGTAGTACGTACCTCGCTGAGGAAGCCGTCATCGATAGTTGCAACAGTAGCAAAAATCCTAAATTTTTCTGGTTTCAACAATGTTGTACATTGTTGATCAAACGCTGCTTCTCCAACCTTTGGCGCAAGATACGATCTCCTCGATAATGCGTCAGATAATCCTTGCTGTTTTTCAGGGCGGTAGGTGATAATAAAGTCAAATCATGATAGAGACATATTCCATCGAGTTTGACGACGATTCAAAATTTGAGCTGTCATGAAATACTCCAAATTCTTGTGGTCCGTATAAACAGTCACTGGATGTGCAGCTCCTTGGAGGAAGTGACGCCACTCTTGGAAGGCATCCACTATAGCAAGCAGCTCTTTGTCGTGGATCTCGTAGTTGATCTCAGCAGCAGAGAACTTCCGTGAATAGAACGCAACTGGATGAAGCTTCTTGTCTATGCCCATCTGTGAAAGCACAGCTCCCAAAGCAAAATCTGAAGCATCGGTCTCTAAATAGAAAGCCTTTGCAAAGTCAGGGTGTACCAAGATTGGAGCCGTAGTGAATGCCGTCTTGAGATCTTGAAATGCTTTTGCTGCTTGTGATCCCCATTCAAGCTTGTCTTTGCTTGTTAGACGCGTGAGTGGTGCAGCAACTTGAGAATAATTCTTGATGAAGATCCGATAGAAGTTAGCAAATCCAAGAAAACACTGAACATCTCTAACCGTCTTCGGAACTTCCCAAGATATAATTGCTTCTACCTTTTTTGGATCCATCTTCAAGCCCTCTGTAGTCGCAATGAAGCCCAAAAATTCCATCTCATTCTGGTGAAATTGACACTTCTCCAACTTGGCGTAGAGTCCTCGTTCGCGTAGTTTTTCAAGAACCAAACAAACGTGCTTCTCATGTTCTTCTTCATTCTTGGAAAATATCAAAATATCATCCAGATAGATGACAACAAAGTCATCGAGGTACTCCCGAAAGATGTCGTTCATCATATGCTGAAAGACCGCTGGAGCATTGGTAAGACCAAAAGGCATGACATTGTACTCAAAATGGCCATACCTTGTACGAAAGGTTGTCTTCCATTCATCTCCTTCTTTGATTCGCACAAGGTTGTAGGCTCTTCTTAAATCAATCTTTGTAAAAATCCTTGCACGTCCAAGTTGATCTAAGAGGCCGGAGATCAAAGGTAAGGGATAGCGATTTTTCTTGGTCACCTTGTTGAGTCCTCGGTAGTCCACGCACATCCGCAGTGAGCCATCCTTTTTCTTCACGAATAGGATTGGTGCTCCAACTGGCGACTTTGAATGTCGAATAAAATTCTTGGCTAGATTCTCATCGATGTACTTCTACAATTCTGCCAACTCCATCTGCGATAGGTTGTATATTGGACCAAAAGGTGGTTGCGCTCCTTCCTCTAAGTCTATGGCGCAATCATATGGTCGATGTTCCGGCAGTATATCAGCGTTCTTCTTCTGAAATACGTCTTCAAAATCCCTATATTGCTCTGGTATATTCGATGTTGAGATATTCTCGCCGCTAGTTGGAGCTGCATAAATGACAAATGGTGTGCCTTCCTTGGACGATCTTAGGAACGCTCTCGCTCCAATAAACATGGATTTCTTTATGTAGGTTCTACCAACAGGTTTATTATTATTTTTTTCAGGAAATGTTATCCTTTGTAGCCTCCAATCAATGGACGGATTATGATCTTCTAACCAAGAAAGACCAAGGATAACAGGGCTTGATGGGATTCTAATAATATTAAAAATAACGTGACTACTATGGTCCTTAAACACCACTTCTATAGGTTCTGATTCGTGGGTAACGTTGCCTGACAATAAGGGTCGTCCATCTATCATCTCTACGTGAACAGGTTTGGACTTCTGTACTAAATGGATCT